TAGATGCGGTTACCGCTGGCAATGACCACTGCAAGCCAGGGCTACACGACTAGGATCAGCAGTTTTCCTGCAAAAACTGTTGAATTCAATGTAATTTTGCACACTGCTGAACGCTGCCCCTGGCCAGTACACAGGGTCACGTGAAAACGTGTGCTTGAAGTTCAGGAACTGTGCTACATTAGCTCAACAAGTCAGAACAAACTTGTAATTTTTGCCATTCTTTGAGTTGCTTTGAATCAGGAAAAGATATTCCATAAAGTCGAGTTAAAGTTTCCGCATCCGATCGCCCTTCCCAATAGGAACTTGACGTTTTGATCACTGCCAATGCCTAAAAAGCACAGTAAACATAACAAAAACTCCGTGTGCTTTCTGAGAAGCACATCAGGTTTGTAACGAGTAAAACAAGCTTTTCAAGTGGAATTTACTTAATGGTAAGAAATGTATACGGCTTAATGGGCCGAAACATTTCTTGCTATTATAATAATTTCACAAATTTTCAAATTTTCTAATTCTCATTTCACACCTTCCTTTTTGATTTTTCTGCTTATTTCATTCCTTGTTAATACACCTTTCCATTACCAATTTGCGTGAACGTGAAAAAACAAAAAGCAAATCGCGCTGAGTCTGATGTGGCAAATAATACACGCATAAGCTCCAAAAACTTAAAGAATATACCTTGACTTTGCCAGTATGTCGCACATGCGGACCTCGGCATAGATCAATCAGTGGGCCACAGCGATAAACAGTGGTGGTCGGAGTGGTTACCTTCTCTTGAATGATGCGAACCTAAAAAAAATACACTTTCTATGGAAAATGTTAAATTTCTTGCGTTTTGTGATGGTCAACGTTTCCTGTCTTGTTGCAGCACCAAGATAAAACATGGGAAAATTGAAAAAATTTTTTCAGCGACCCAATGAGCCATGGAACGGTCCCTATGAGATGCAGCAAACACATAACCAAAAAAGAGCTCGGTTATTTATATAGTGAGGACGAGAGGTTAGAACAAAGTCGACAAAGAATTATATATTTATACAACACCAAAAAAAATCTGGAAAAACTGCTAATCCGGTTAACGAATTCCCGAAGCAGAGAACAGTGGAAAAGCTATCAACTGCAACAACGTCAAGAACAGCTATCAAACCGAACCAGCAAAGAGCGAAGAAGTAATTAATTGCATTAATCGCGAAGGCAACTACTAAAACTCGGCTCGGCCGTTACTCCGACCTCCTCGCTAAGATATTTCGCGGCGAATCATGTCGATGCCGCTTGGCACTTCGCCAGACGTGCCGGGAGGGGGAGACTGTTCCTCTTCTATCTTCAATCTCTGCGCCCCGAACCTCGTACAAACCTCCTCCACTACCACATCATTCGCAGCAGCGACGCACTCGTAACTGTGGGGCAAGCTGACCCAGAAAAATCATTCGCAAATCGTGTATGACGACAGCCGACTCATGCCGAGTTTTAGTAATTGCCAAGGCGAAAGAAACATGACTATCGGAAGATAGCTAAACAGGTAAAAATGATAATTTGCTGTAAAATTACCTTAAACTTATTGTACTTGAACATTTCCAACAGATCTTCTTTCGATACAACCAACCGCTCAAAGGGCTGCTTATCCTGTAAAATCGGACAAAAAATGTATAGAAAAAATTATAAACAAAGCAATGGATTGGGTAAAAATTCTGTCTATAATTAAGCTAACTGCCCAGAAAACGTAGGTACAACAGGATAAGCATCGATATAGTTTAATGGACGACATTTCGCTTTTTTTTATGCGTTTTGTGCTGTGTAACAGCAGTACAAAACGCATATTGTTACGGGGTTGTCTG